ATAATCCTCCCCTCTCCTTCCCTTCCATTCATTCATTTATTTTTTTAAATTTATTATTTCTTTATTTTTTTTACTGTAATAGATAATACTTTTTTTAAAGATTTTTTAAAATTAACATATAGTGTATTATATGCTTTGGGGGTACAGGTCTGTGAATCATCAGTCTCACCCAATTCACAGCCTCACCATTGCACATACCCTCCCCAATGTCCATAACCCAGCCACCCTGTCCCTCCCAACCCACCCCCCAGCAACCCTCAGTTTGTTTCCTGAAATTAAGAGTCTCTTGTGCTTTGTCTCCCTGATCCCATCTTGTTTCATATTTTCCCTCCCTACCCCCAGCCCTGCCTCTCAGATTCCTCATATCAGAGAGATCATATAATTGTCTTTCTCTGACTGACTTATTTCACTTAGCATAATATCCTCTAGTTCCATCCAGGTCATTGCAAATGGCAAGATTTTGGGGTTTTGATGGTTGCATAGTATTCCAGTGTGTATGTGTGTGTGTGTGTGTGTGTGTGTGTGTGTGTGTGTACACGTATCTCATTATCTTTATCCATTCATCGGTTGATGGACATCTAGGTTCTTTCCATAGTTTGGCTATTGTGGACATTGCTGCTATGAACATTCGGGTGCACGTGTCACTTTGGATCACTGCATTTGTATCTTTAGGATAAATACCCAGTAATGTGATTGCTGGGTTGTAGGGTAGCTCTATTTTCAACTTTTTGAGGAACCTCCATGCTGTTTTCCAGAGTGGCTGCACCAGCTTGCATTCCCACCAACAGTATAGGAGGGTTCCCTTTTCTCTGCATCCTTGCTGACACCTGTCGTTTCCTGACTTGTTAATTTTAGCCATTCTGACTGGTATAAGGTGGTATCTCACTGTGGTTTTGATTTGTATTTCCATGATGCCCACTGATGTTGAGCACTTTTTCGTCTATCTGTTGGCCATTTGGATGTTGTTTTTACAGAAATGTCTGTTCATGTCTTCTGCCCATTTCTTGATTGGATTATTTGTTCTTTGGGTGTTGAGTTTGTTAATTTCTTTCTAGATTTTTGGATACTAGCCCTTAATCTGCTATGTCATTTGTAAATTATCTTCTCCCGTTCTGTCAGTTGTCTTTTGGTTTTGTTGACTGTTTCCTTTGATGTGCAAAAGCTTTTGATCTTGATAAAGTCCCAGTAGTTCACTGTTGCCCTTGCTTCCCTTGCCTTTGGCGATATTTCTCTAGGAAGAAGTTGCTGTGGCTGAGGTGGAAGAGGTTGCTACCTGTGTTCTCCTCAAGGATTTTGATGGATTCCTGTCTCACATTGAGATCTTTCATCCACTTTGAGTCTATTTTTGAGTGTGGTGTAAGGAAATGGTCCAGTTTCATTTTTCTGCATGTGTCTGTCCAATTTTCCCAACAGCATTTGTTGAAGAGACTGTCTTTTTTCCATTGGACATTCTTTCCTGCTTTGTTGAAGATTAGTTGATCATAGAGTTCACGGTCCATTTCTGGGCTCTCTATTCTGTTCCATTGATCTGTGTGTCTGTTTTTGTGCCAGTACCTTACTGTCTTGATGATGACAGCTTTGTAATAGAGCTTGAAGTCTAGAATTGTGATGCCGCCAACTTTGGTTTTCTTTTTCAACATTCCTCTGGCTACTTGGTGTCTTTTCTGGTTCCATATAAATTTTAGGATTATTTGTTCCATTTCTTTGAAAAAAGTTAATGGTATTTTGATAGGGATTGCACTAAATATGTAGGTTGCTTTAGGTAGCATAGACATTTTCACAATATTTGTTCTTCCAATCCATGAGCATGGAACATTTTTCCATTTCATTGTATCTTCCTCAATTTCTTTCATGAATACTTTATAGTTTTCTGAGTACAGTTATAGATAACACTTAAAAAATGGCTTACCGTGGTAGATAACACAGAAAAATGTATTGCGCCATGGTGTATTCCAAACCCAACACTCCTGAGTACCACCTGTGTCAGGCAGCAGAGCGTTGTCAGTCTGTCAGTGGGTGCCCTCCTTGCACTGCTTGCCCCACTCCCTCAAAGTCGGAAGTGATCCCGACTTTTCTGTTACTTACTTCTGGCTTTTCACCTTAGTTTCACCACATAAACTCACATCTTGCACGGCTCAGTTTTGCCTGCTTTTTCAGCTTTCCGGAAGTGGAATTACAGAGCATGTGCTCCTATTGGGTCTTGCTTCATTGACTCTGCATCACAGATGTTGTCCACAGCTTTCTTCAGGAGTGAAGGCAGGGTGGGAACGCACAGCTTTTTGATAACTGACTCTGGCGACCCTGTGAAGTTACAGATTTTAGGTTATTAATCGAGTCCTTTGAGGAACCTTAAGAGTCCCAATGAGACAAATGAAGTATTTATTTTGTCAGAACCCTTGCAGTTGGTACCCTGCCTTCCTGAGAGGAATGATCACCATGCTGTCTTGTGCCATTCCAGGAAGAAATACTTGTATTGGCTGCTTTTCTAGGGATGCACCAGAGCTCAAAGTAGTCAGCCAGTCCTGCCCGCCCAGAAGTGCCTCTCTCACAGGCAGGGCTTGAAGTATTCCAAGCTGGTGGAGTGGGTTTGCTGGAGTTAGTCTTAGAATTAAAGTAGTGTCTTTTTTTTTTTTTTTTTAAGATTTATGTATTTATTGGAGAGAGAGTATGCACAAGTGTGCACATGTGGGGGGAGGGGCAGATGGAAAGAATCTTGAGCAGACGTCCTGCTGATCATGGAGCCCAACTCAGGGCTCAGTCCCACAACCCCAAGATCATGACTGGAGCTGAAATCAAGAGTTGGATGATTAACCGACTGAGCCATCGAGGAGCTCCTACGCATAAAACTTTTGTTGGTGTTCCTAGATGCATATTCTAGCTTTCTATGGGTCTGATATAATTTTGCTTATTTATCCTCACTCAGTATTTTACTGTCTCTTTTCCGGATGTCTCTGTGTATATGTTCATATACTGTCTTTTTCCTTTTTCACACACCTTCATGTACACCGGTACTTTTGATGGTAGTAGAGGCGATCGGTGCTGTGATTTCTACCCTTGCCATCAGTTTCAGTACGCCTGGGTTTGAGAAGGCTTTAAGGCTGAGTGGGTGGGTAGAGAGAGAAAAGAACAGAACATTCTGTTTGGATAGGTCTTTGGTCTGCACTTAGCGACCAGGAGGCCTGATGAGGGGGAGCTGTCCAGGAAGTGGATCTGCAGTTACCTGCCCAGCCCCTGGGCCCCTTCTGTGAAGGCGGCGAGGACTGGGAACGGTTACAGGGGTAGAGCACCTTCTTGGTCTGTGACTCCGCTCCTGGACATAAATGTTCATGCCACAGGAGAGTAAGAAGCCAGTTTGGTAAGATTGTGGGCAAGACACAGTCACATTTTGTGACCCTATGGGCACATGTTTCATGAACAGGATCAGGAATGAAGAAAACATTCAGGGCACATGAAAAGGCACAGAAGAGTTGATGTCTGTGTCTGTGTATCCTTTTTGTATGTGTCTAAGAGTGGATATATAGAAATTGGCTTATGATAACAGTTCTGAAATACATACATTCATATATAATGAACTCTGGTTTTGTTTTGTTTCTAAGATTTGATTTATTTGACACAGAGAGGGAGAGCACAAGTAGACAGAGTGATAGGTAGAGGGAGAGGGAGAAGCAGGCTCCCTGCTAAGCAGAGAGCCCAATTCGGGGCTTGATCCCAGGGTACTGGGATCATGACCTCAGCTGAAGGCAGATGCCCAACTGGCTGAGCCCCCAGGTGTCCCAATAAACTGTATTTTAAAAAACCCTATCTACATGTTTTGGTTGTCACTAGAGATTCTATTTATTGATTAACTTCCTTTTCCCAGCAGGAATGTCTTGCAACTGGTACCCATTATGCATTTTTGTATTATCGGATGTCAATTAAAAAATTAGCTGAAGTCACATAAAGGAAGGCAATATGTATTCACAAGCCAGCTATTCATAATTTCATATATTTCAAGTTGAGCTGCCCACCGCCTCTGCCCCATTACGTAGAACAACCCACAGCAAAGTTGATCCCTGTGGGGTTCTACCTCTCTACCTGCTCTCTCAGTTTTACCTGCTCTACCTCTCAGCGCTGCCGTACAGACTTCTGCCGCCGTGCTTGGGGCTGTGCTCCGAAATTCAAATCCAATTTGATATTTTCCAAAGCAAAACACAACTTAAGACAAATCGGTTACCCAAAAAGTCACATACATCAAGGGCAAATGCAGATGGTGTGGCGATAGCCGCCTACCGCTCCCCTTTTCGTTCGTACTGATGACTGGGGACTGACCGTGCCCGTGGAATCACCCCTCAGTCTGGGCCAAAGCCAGCGACAGCACCTGAGGGCCAGCAGTGAGTGCTGTTGACTCTGTTATGCTTCCTGTTCACTCCAGAGAGGGAGTTGACAGGAACTGGAGCCGGGGAACTGAGAGTGAGCCTCGCCCACGCTGTTCTTCGTGCACATGGTGGGTGTGTTTACTTCTCTTGCTTGGGAGCTAGTCTTGGCTGTCAGGTGTCCTTTGCTTCATTCTTCCTTATGTGAATTTATCCTTCAGATTTTCCTTTTGTGTACTCCAAGATACTACTGAGGGCATTTAGATAACTAGTATTTATACTGTTGATAATCTGAATTAATCAGTCTGTATTGAATGGAATTTGACCACAAGTGTATCTGTTTCTGATAGATGACCCGTTTTATTTTCGAAGAAGCCAGAATTTGTTACCAGTCTCAGACAGTCTCTGTATCTAGTCATACTCCTGGTGCTCTAGAATGTGTTTACACCAGTAGGAATCTTAATTCCTTCTTTACTGTCCTATTTGTGGATTGAGAAAGCTAAGCATGGAGACAGCACTTTCCTGTCCTGGGGCTCTAACCTTTAAACCTATTGCTTCTAACCACTTGGAGCTCAGAAAATTCCATGAAGCACATTTCAGTGAACTGTTGACTATATTAGAATCTCTTTTTTTCCTTTGCAGACCCTTCATGTGGCCTTTTTAAATATGTATTTGAGACAGAGTGAATGTAGAAACTGAAAATGCCTGGAAGATTGCTGGTTTCTGTTACTACCTGTCCAGCCTTTTTGCATCAGCACCTGATTTGGATGATGTGATATTCCGAGGGACACCTTCCTTGAAGTTGTTATTCCGTGAGTTGCCTCTGGCGGGAGGTGGTAGACACGATTCAAGATGGCCAGTCAGCCGCCAGACGAGGCGGCAGAGGCTCAGGTCTCTGATGAGCTCGAGTGTAAGATCTGTTATAATCGGTACAATCTGAAGCAGAGGAAACCCAAAGTGCTGGAGTGTTGTCACAGGGTTTGTGCCAAATGCCTCTACAAGATCATCGACTTTGGGGACTCGCCGCAAGGTGTCATCGTCTGTCCTTTCTGCAGGTTTGAGACCTGCCTGCCAGATGATGAAGTCAGTAGCCTGCCCGATGACAACAACATCCTGGTAAACTTGACTTGTGGAGGCAAAGGCAAGAAGTGCCTGCCAGAAAACCCCACCGAGCTGCTGCTGACCCCCAAGAGGCTGGCGTCCCTGGTCAGTCCCTCTCACACTTCCTCCAACTGCCTGGTCATAACCATCATGGAGGTGCAGAGAGAGAGCTCCCCGTCTCTGAGCTCCACTCCCGTGGTAGAATTTTATAGGCCTGCGAGTTTCGACTCTGTTACCACTGTGTCACACAACTGGACGGTGTGGAACTGTACGTCCCTGCTCTTTCAGACGTCTATCCGGGTGTTGGTTTGGCTGCTGGGCTTGCTCTACTTCAGCTCCTTGCCCTTAGGGATCTACTTACTGGTGTCTAAGAAAGTCACTCTTGGGGTCGTCTTTGTCAGCCTCGTCCCTTCAAGCCTTGTCATTCTCATGGTGTATGGTTTTTGCCAGTGCGTTTGTCACGAATTTCTAGACTGTATGGCACCTTCTTCTTAATTAATATGCAGACTAAGAAATTTGACACACGTTGCCATCTTTGAAGTTAGGTAATTTATCATTTATTTATTTTATATTCTTAGTGATTAGTGTCCATGACATTAACAAGGCCACTGGCCCAAAGTTTGTGGTCTGTTTTCCATCAAAAAGTTGACTCCGTTGGTTTTTCTCTATGCTGGACACAGAAAGTGCTCATTTCTACTTAGGTGTTAGCAAAGATGCAAGCATGTATAAGCTAAGCCTTCACAGAGCGCTTCTTGTGAGCCTGCCCACAAGAAAGGGCAGGAGTTCACTCACCCCTGCTGGAAGGCACCAGCGGGGAGGGGTGTTAGGCTGTAGGAGGGGTCTTTGCAGAAGGTTAGGGATGAACCAGTTCCTCTAATCCTCAATAATCTATGATGTTGGGTGGACACAAGAGGAGAGCTTTCCAAGACACATCTACTTGAAAAGTGTGACCTGCCCCTCCCACACCCCCCTCCCACACTGCTCCTGCACCCCCTCCCATACACCCTCGAATCCCCTCCTGCACCCCTCTTTGCCCCCCACACAGCTTCCGCACCCCCATACTCCTTCATATCCCCTCCACCCTCCTCCTTGCTCCCCTCCCATACCCCTCGTATCCCCTTCTGCACCCTCCTCCCCGCACCCTCACACTCCTCCCCCCCATACCCCCTCGTATCCCCTCCTGCACCCTCCTCCACGCACCCCTTCCCACACCCCCCCACACACCCCTCGCCGGCACCCTGTTGTTGGCTCTCCCCAGAATCCTCTCCAGGAGCTCTCTTGCCATTCAGCACGCTGTCCGTGGCTCCTTCCTTCTGCACATGGTTCTTCGCCAAAATGAAACTTGGCCTCGTGCCCTTGTGTGGTTTCAATTAAATACCCGTTTTGCCACATTTCTAAAGAGAATTAAACATATTGCGGAATTTGTATTTAAAGCAGACTCATGACTAAATATGGCCGCCTGTCTTTAAGACCCTTTCGTCCATATTTGTTGTCTTCTCTTCTCCCTCATCTCCAAAATTCTCACAGAGCAGTTACAGTTCACGGACGTCTTCATGTGGGTTCTGCCCTCGAATGGTGTCGCTGAGTTTTGTTCACCACCTTGTTCGGCAACCCCACCCCTTACCCTGGGTGACGTTCTACTTCAGTTGTTCAAAGCATGAGGATTTTTTCCCCGTTTTATTTCAGATTCTGCTAGGGACTTATTTAACTTAATCCTATAACAGTCCGGGGGTAAGTTGTGGCAGTGGAAACCCAGAAACAATTATTGAGCTCCCAGTTTGAAGTGCTGAGAATGCCAGTCTTCTTGCTGTACTGGGCTGAATTGTACCAGAACATAACGGTTTGGGCTTCTGTGCACAATGGGGTTGCATTTGGCCAAAGTGACGGGGAAGGAACACACAGAGACGACTTGCTGCTTGAGAGGACCCTCTGGGGCAGTCAGATGGAGGCGGCAGGGCATCCCTTGACCTGTCGCTCTTCCTCTTAAAGCCCATTTTAGCATGGATTCACATTCTTACATAATTCATTTCAAATAAAAACATAAGCTGTGTGACTTGAGTTAATGAACTCCTTTTCGTGATGTAGGGGAAGTTGAATGTATATATTTATGAGAAGAAACTCTTTAGCAGATTTTAGGTTTGAGGGAATAGAATGTCCACAAAAACCGGGCCAAAAAAAAAAAAAAAAGGTTTTCAGTTCCTAAAACCCATTACTGAGGATTAACATTAAAATATTTATAACTTTTAGAAAAGGGCTTTCCTAAGATGACTTCCACCTGTCTGTGGGAAACATTTGTTGTGTGACACTGTTGTAGTGGACCGGGCTGATCTCTCTATCCAGGAAGAATTGACCCTTACCTTTAGAGTAGTAGTTTGACTTTAATCATATAACTCCTGTCTTTGAGAATATGTACCCCTAAGGGTGAGTATGGTGGAAAACCATACCTGAGGTGTGGCCCAATGAATTTAAGCCTCAAGTTATAGCTGAATACATTTATAATTTTATAAAATCTAGATTAGAAAGCATTGTGAATGCAGTTTCCAAAAATCCATTTGTACTTAGAGTAAATACAATGTTTAGGAGGTGTTTCGTGGTTTGGATTTATATATTTATAAGGTTTTTTAAAAAAAATGTTCATTTTGTCTGACATGTACATCAAATAAATGAGTTATGATGAAATTTCTAGAAAGCTCTGGATGTGGGTACTGTGTATTCTGCTTCTTCGTATAATGTCTGCAGTGCTAAATTTGTCTCTCTTTGTATATTGTGCTAGCCTTTTTTTTAGTTGTCAGTAAATTAATTTGGTTTTAAAGAATTTTAAATGTAAGCCAACAGAAAACTCTTTATGCTGTTGAATGAAAACAGTACAATGCTTCAATATTTTATTCACTGTGATAATATTTTGTTTGTCCATTAAATTATTATTTCGACACTAGAAGTTTGACTTCCCTGACTCATGATTGAGATTCAGTTATTACTTAAGATTTCTGTTAACGTTAGATAATTGTGAACTAGAGCTTTCAGAAACACTGATGAAGCCAGTGCCTCTGTCATACACATGAAGATTCCAGAACTTTCTGACAAAGTTGATCTAACTGGTCCCACCAGTTTGTTTTTGAAAAACAAAACAAAGCAAAACAAAAACCAACCAACCAAAAACAAAACAGGGGAGGGAATTTGGGAAGACAAAACTAAACTATTGTCTTTATCATTATAAGTAAATTTTTTTGTTTTAATTTGTTTGATTTATGTTCCAGAATCTGACTAGCCACTCAGCAAAACAGTGTCCCTTTTAGTCGGGCAATCACTAGCCTTCTGTGAACTGGGCAAATTTTTGTGATTACCTGATCTTTAAATATGACCATTGTTAGGCAAAGTAGACATTGTTGACAGTATGTAACAGTTACATGTTTATGACAATTAGTGAATTGGCACCACATGTTAACCAAGAATAATGGTTTTCATTCACTTCTGAAACCTTTGCATAAATGAGCAAGGAACGTGGTTAAGGAAAGGCATTACCTGAACTAGTCAGTCGTAACTTGGATGAGTCCTGCTTACCTGCTGAGAGACCGACAAATGATGAGACTGTGCTAGGTTGTAAACAGACATCCTGACTTCCAAGAAATGTTCTCATATGTCATCCAGGTAGATGCAGATGCCAAGGGAATCCTATAGTGCTAGAGAGACTCGTAACACAGTATAAGGACCACCTCTGTGAGTCCTGGAGCACAGAAGGTATGAAAAAGAGCTAGCCTGAGTGGAATGAAGGAGAACTACAGTTTTCTGTGTTTCTACATCTTTTGTGGTTTTTCTTTTTTCACTCTTCTTAGCAAAAAGCAAATACCTGCCTTAATTCTTTAGAAACACCACAGAAACACCACATATTATTCCAGAACTTTCTTTAAAACCAATGGGAGGCTTGGTTACAGGTAAGCTCTCTGAAGAAATTTCACCACTGGCTCCTGAGGCTTGAGTCGTGTGTATTTTCCACATTCTGCCCATTAGATGTTTACTTCTCGGCCTCTTTAACGATTTATGAATTTTTACTCTTCTGTGGGGAGCTAGAGGCTTAGTATTGGGTCTACCCTTACAGGTTTACTTTTGTGTAAAAGATTTTTGAGAAAAAAAAAAAAAGTATGTGGATAGCTGGATGTCGAAGTTTGTATAAATTCCAAGTGAGTCCTAGAGGCAATACAGGTGCAACTCAGTTGCTTATGTCATGTAAATTTGTGGTATAATCCAAATCTCAGGTATGCTCAGTACACAGATATTTATGGTTTCTGACAAGAAGGTGCTTTAAATTTAGGAATTAAAAAAAAAAATTAGAAGTTAAATTATGCCCTGCCCATTTTGTATGCTAAGTAGGGCTATGTGGTAATGTATTCTTAAAAGTGGTCAAAGCTTGAGTTAATGAAAACATTCACTTACCTGGAACAATCACACAACAAGCGTTTTTAATCAGCCAGCAGTTTATTGGATTTGCACCATATTAACATTTTCCTTTTAAACCGAGATGGTGAGAATTTGATAAGAGAGAACATGCTGTGACTTAGGTCATTTCAGATCTTGGTTTTCCCATGAAGTTCAATGCTTTAGGTAAGAAAGTTTTTGTTTTTTGTTTTTGCAGTGTTCAGACCCATCTACCTCAGATCAGTGGTCTGACCAAGACACCTGTGTCTGAGCGTCTTTGGTGTGTCAATTCTAAACCGGAAGTGAAGGAAGTAGAGAAATGACAAGTGGGACAGAGTGGAGGGTCAAGGTTGAGCTCTGTGAAGCTCTAACTTCACGGTAGAGGAGCAGACAAAGGGACTGCATTGGTGCAGCCCGAGCCCTGAGAAAGAGAGCAGCAGCCATTGGAGGATTGTGTGCTCACAGGGGCCAAGAGCTAGGAGGTAGAATTAGCATGACTAGACGAATACAGACGGAAGCAGATGAAGATTATTTTATTGAAAAAAGGCTTGTTAAGCTTTTCTCATGAAGAAAAAGTTCAGAGAATCACGGAATTATCACTGGTACACTCACCTCTGAGAGTCGGTCACTTAACCTTTTGCCATATTTGTTTTTTCTCTCCCCCCCAAAAATAAGAGACTTTCTCTAATTTGATTAAAATATCATTATTGCATCTAAGACAAAAATACTTCTCTAATTGCTTAATATGCAGTCTAATTAAATTTTTCTAGTCCCAAAATATCTTTTATAGCTCCAAGCAAAAAACATAAGCCAGGCGCTAATCAAGATTCACATGTTGCATTTGGTTATTATGTATTTTATTCTCTTTTATGTCGGAACAGTCACTCCACTTTGTGTTCCCCGTAACATTGACAGCTTGAAGAAAGGAGGCCCATTATATTGTACAATAGCCCACATTCTGGATGTCTGTTTCCTCGTGGTGGTGAGGAGATGGTCAGAGATTCTTCTTCTATCACTTGTATTTCCTGTAAACTGGAAGTTAGGTAGAAAATTTTGATTGCATTCAGATTTGGGGCAAGAATTTTTCTTAGAGGGTGCTGTGTACTTGGTGTTGCGTCACATCAGGAGGCATGATTGAAAGTCCACTCCACCATCTGAAGTGCTGTCTGATAATCAGTTTAAGGGGGTGACATT